GCGCGTCCTTTGGAACTCGACCCGGGCCGGGCACGGCTGCGTTCGCGGACTGGGAGACCGGGCCGAGGGACGCGCGGAGCTCCTGCCGAGGCCGGCCGAGGGGGTGGGGGCCGGGCCGGCTGGGTGGGACAGGAAAAGAGCAGCGAACCGCCCTCTGCAGGTTCCCTGTGGCCGCCGGGCCGCCCCGCTCCCCCGGGAGGAAGGGCTGCCTGCCCTCCTCGGCCGCCGCTTCGCTCTCCATCCGGAGTGGCTTCCTCCCCGGTCCGGAGGCTCCAGAGGGGGCTGAGATCCGAGCCCCGAGCTGGCTGGGATCCGGCCGATCTCCCTGTTCCCCGGGGTGGACGTGATTTGAATTTCAGCACCCAGGAGCCGTTCCATTGGCTTGCGTGGGTGGCGGCCGCACACAGGTGTTCTGTGAGTCCCTGCCGGGGACCCTAAGCTGGCACCCACTGTCGCTGCGCGTCGGCCTGGGGCGGTGCCGGGTGCCAGCTCCGTGCCCGTGGGCTGTGTGACCTCGGGCTCAGCCCTTGACGTCTCTGAAGGCTGCCTGTAAGGACATTTCTTAAGCACCCTTCTCGCCCAGGCCAGGTAACTCCATTGCACCGTGTGTTAGTACCGAACTCCCAGGACCTCCTGACTCACTCCTGTGTGGCAGGAAATGTTCCCATCAGAGGAACTCAGTGACTAAGAGGATGCCATGGTGTGTGACCCAGGCTCTACCATGGGCTTTGCTCTGTCATCTCGGGCAAGCGCCTTCTGGGGCAGTTCCTGTCGCAGGGAATTACTGTGTCCAGGGAATGAGTTAGTGGACTGGTGCTTCAGAATGGACAATTGATGGCATTAAAATGGCATTAAAAGTTTATTTTCTAGCAAAATCTTGGACATCCATGCATAGTTGTTTTCATAATCCACATTTTCGGTGAGCGTTTTAAAGACCCCTCATAGGCATTGGTTTAATTTTTTTGCACCAAAATTTCCTTTTTTTTTTTTTTTTTTAAGCTTTATTTCAAAGGCTGAGTTAGAGAGATGAAGAGAGAGACAGAGAGAGAGAACTCTTCCATCTGCTGGTTCACTTCCCAAATGTCTGCCTGCAAGGACTGGGGCTGAGCCAGGCTGAAGCTGAGAGCCAGGAACCCAGTGTGGGTTTCCCAATGTGGATAGCGAGAACCCAACTACTTGAGCCATCGCAGCTACCTCCCAGGGTGTACATCAGCAGGAAGCTGGAACTGGAAGCTAAGCCAGGACTTGAACCTAGGAACTTTGATAAGGGATGCAGGTTATCTCACCTAGCATCTTAACCACTAAGCCAAATGCCGCCCCCCCCCCCAAGGTTTTAAAAGTGCTTTTATACATACTGGTACTAAGCGCTAGAACCTTGACTGATATACAGTAAGTGCTAAATAATTGCTAGCTATTGTTATCTTGGTTGGGTACCCTGTGGTTATTCTGCCTTCCATCCCAGCGAGACTTCCGTACTTAACGTCTTGCTCCTGTGAGTTCTGCAGAAGTGGGAATCAACCTTTATGTAAATCCTTAGGACAGGTGTCACACAGTGTGGGTGTTCGTCTGGGGACCAACCAGTTGGAAGAGGAAGTCTCAAGAAAGAAGCATTAAATGAGAAAAAAAAATAAAGCCTTATATAAAGAAGAGTAGTTGCTCTCATTCTTGAAGTGTTAGTTGGTAAAAGCCAAAGGAGGAAAAAAAGAAAAAGAGAAGTTGATGACATTCATTTTATTTGAATATATATTTTTTAAAGGCATGGAATTGTCAGCGTAGAGGCAGCTCATGGGTGGGAGACCTACTACCCAGAAAGGCAAAGAAAGTGGCACATAGGCAGGATGTGTGCAAGTTACTACAAGGTCGGTCAGCCCGGCCTCAGGTAGGAGAGCATGCAAGAGATAAAGGAAGGGCAGGTGGTCAGAGCTCCATTCCAAGGACGGACAATCGCATCTCCTCGCCCCCGGCAAGGCAGGAAGGCTGGGATCTTCCGTCTGGCTGTCTCTCTCCCATACCACGCACCAGTCCATGTGAAGATTGTTAAGATCACACACTCAAAGGCCACCTGGCCCAGCTGGCTCTGCTGATTTGCTGTCACGCTCAGTCTCACCGGATGGTTATTGCTGATCTCTGATCTCTTATAAGCATCTTTTTTCTCTTTGGAGTGTTACCTTGAAAGGTTTGCTGATACCATTTTTTTTGTCTTCCTTCAGGCACACACCTCATTTTAAAAGTATAAGCCTGCAGAAAACTAGGACCCAATATGCACGTGCATAAAGTAAGGAATGCTGTAATTAGTGTGTGTCCTTTTCTCTTTATATATTCATTTATTTATTTGAAAGGCAGAACATCCGAGAGAGAAAGGGAGAGATCTTGCATCTCCTGGTTCACTCTCTAAATGCCTGCAACAGCCAAACCTGGGCCAGGCCAAAGCTGGAGGCCAGGAACTCCCATCTCTCACATGAATGGCAGGGGCCCAAGCACTTGGGCCATCCTCTGCTGCCTCCCCAGGTACATTAGCAGGGAACTGGACTGGAAGCAGAGCAGCCAGGACTTGAACTGACACTGTGCTATGAGCAGGTGGCGTCCCAAGTGGTGGCTGAATTGGCTGTGCCACAGTGGCTGCGGCAGAGTGTCTTCAGCTCTTTTGGGGTCTCTGGTTCATCCTGGCTATGTCATGTTTCTAGGGTTCTCTGTGTGCCTGCCCCCTGTATCAAGATGGCCTTTCAAATCTTCGGAGGGAGAACAGTGCATTGTATTTGGCTGTGCATATGGTAGGTGATGGATGAAGCTCCTGGCATTCTCTAAGCTTAAAATGCAGAAACTCAGAAACTAGAGCAGGCCTGCAGGGGCCCTGGAGCAGAGAGAGGAGATACTGCCTCCACTCCACACCCCTCCCCAACATGGTACTGCTGTCAGCCCCACCTTGTGCTACTGTCTTCTCAGCCCTAGCCTTTCCCACGTACAACTTTAAAAGCATTTTTTTTTTTTTTTTTGACAAGCAGAGTGGACAGTGAGAGAGACAGAGAGAAAGGTCTACCTTTTTGCCGTTGGTTCACCCTCCAATGGCCGCCACGGCCGGCACGCTGCGGCTGGTGCACTGCGCTGATCCGAAGGCAGGAGCCAGGTGCTTCTCCTGGTCTCCCATGGGGTGCAGGGCCCAAGCACTTGGGCCATCCTCCACTGCACTCCCTGGCCACAGCAGAGAGCTGGCCTGGAAGAGGGGCAACTGGGACAGAATCTAGCACCCCGACCGGGACTAGAACCCAGGGTGCCGGCGCCGCAGGCAGAGGCTTAGCCTAGTGAGCCGCGGCGCCAGCCCTTTAAAAGCATTTTTTTAAAAAAGATTTATTTATTTATTTAAAAGTCAGAGTTACACAGAAAGAGGAAAGGCAGAGAGAGAAAGAGGTCTTCCATCCGATGGTTCACTCCCCAGATGACCGCAATGGTCGGAGCTGTGCCAATCCGAAGCCAGGAGCCAGGAGCTTCTTCCAGGTCTCCCACATGGGTGCAGGGGCCCAAGGACTTGGGCCATCTTCTACTGCTTTCCCAGGCCATAGCAGAGAGCTGGATCGGAAGTGGAGCAGTTGGGACTCGAACCGGCACCCGTATGGGATGCTGGCGCTTCAGGCCAGGGTGTTAACCCACTGCGCCACAGTGCCAGCCCCAACTTTAAAAGCTTTGCCCTGTTGTGAATCATGGTGCTCAATCAGGTTCCCAGCCACAGCGTCCCCCTAGATAAGCACCTGTGGTCCTTCCCCTTGCCTCCTGGGAACCTTCAGTTGGCTTGTATGCACATCAAGTTCCAGTCTCACAACTTACTGATCTTTCCCACTTCCGCCATGGGGACCGCTTCTCTCCCCCTCCAGATCCTGGATCCCCAGAAGTCGTCTCTGGCACACTCCGCAGAGAGGCTCGGGAAAGCCCTGGAGAGGAAAGGCTTGAACTGGGCTTTGCTGTGGACAGTGAGGGACCTGCGCTCCCAGCGCTTCCCCTACACTTCCAGTACCCCTGGAGTACTGCTCCCAGCCGTGATTCTCAGGGACAGGGGTGTAGAATGCGTCCTAGGGGAGATTAAAAGTAGGCGGTACGGAGGCCGGCGCTGTGGTGTAGTGGGTAAAGACGCTGCCTACAGTGCCAGCATCCCATATGGGCATTGGTTCGAGTCCAGGGCTGCTCCACTACTGATCCAGCATCTCTGCTATGGCCTGGGAAAGCAGTAGAAGATGGCCCAAGTCCTTGGGCCCCTGCACCTGCATGGGAGACAAGGCCAGCCAAGAACTCCACCTAGGTCTCCCACATGGGTGGTAGAGACCCAAGTACTTGAGCCATCACTGGCTGCCTCCCAAGGTGCCAAGTGGGGACTTGAACCAGACACTCCAATATGGGATACAAATATTCCACGTGGCAACTTAACTGCTCTGCCATGTGCCCACTCCAGGTCTGTTTTTATAGCTTAAGACATAATTTGGAGGCTGGCGATGTGGTGTGGTAGCTTAAGCCTCTGCCTGCAGCGCCAGCATTCCATGTGAGTGTCAGTTTGAGTCCCAGTTGCTACACTTTTTTTTTTTTTTAATATTTCTTTATTTGAAAGGCAGAATCGGGCCAGCGCCGCGGCTCACTAGGCTAATCCTCCACCTAGCGGCGCCGGCACCCCGGGTTCTAGTCCCGGTCAGGGCGCCGGATTCTGTCCCAGTTACCCCTCTTCCAGGCCAGCTCTCTGCTGTGGCCAGGGAGTGCAGTGGAGGATGGCCCAAGTCCTTGGGCCCTGCACCCCACGGGAGACCATGATAAGTACCTGGCTCCTGCTATCGGATCAGCACGGTGCGCTGGCCACAGCGCGCTGGCTGCGGCGGCCATTGAAGAGTGAACCAGCGGCAAAGGAAGACCTTTCTCTCTGTCTCTCTCTCTCTCACTAACTCTACCTGTCAAAAAAAAAAAAAAAAAACGAAAGGCAGAATTACAAAGAGGGAGCGGGGAGAGGTCTTCCATCCACTGGTTCACTCCCCAAATGACTGCAAGGGCTGGAGCTGGGCCAATCTGAAGCCAGGAGCCAGGAGCTTCCTCTGGGCCTCCCACATGGGTGCAGGGGGCCAAGGACTTGGGCCATTCTCCATCACTTTCCCAGACACATTAGCAGGGAGCTGAGATACTCCACTTCCAATCCAGCTCTCTGCTATGGCCTGGGAAAGCAGTGGAAGATGGCCCAAGTCCTTGGGCCCCTGCACCTGCGTGAGACCTGGAAGAAGCTCTTGGCCCCTGGCTTCAGATCAGGCCAGCTGATAGAAGACCTCTCTCTCTGCCTCTCCCTATATCTGTAACTCTGCCTCTTAAAAAAAATTTGACACAATGAACTGTAAATACTTAATGTACATAATTTAATGAGCTTTTATACTCAACCATCACCATGATCAAAATTAAGAACATTTCTCTCATCCCCAAAGGATGCCTTTTTGCAATCTAGCCTCTTCTGCCCTGGTCTCCCTGTCATGAGACACTAGCATGCGTTCCCTCCTCTGCCAATAGTGCCAGCCAGTTACCAGTTTCCCCTGCCCAACAGGACGGGCAGGCACCCAA